CGGCTGATGCTTTTTGCTTCGTTTGTTCAAAAATTATCTCTATTGTAACCATCAGATGATTCAATTCTTGTTCTTTCTTCTCATACAATTCTCTGCCAACCAGCGCCATGGCAGCATTGATAAAACAGCATAAACATACCTACAAATTGTTATACATAATTATTAAAGACTGTTTAATTCAACAGAGATGTCACTATAAGGCCTATTCTTGTTAGCTAACTTGTTGCATGGCTCATCTTCCCTCTTTTTCTCTCTATGTTATTAAAAAAAAAATGAGGAGAAAGATGAACGGCGCAAGAAGTTCAAAAAGAACCTGACAATAAATAAAAATTTCTCACATACCAATCACATCTCACTTGCGGTACACCATCCTCGTTTGCAGCATCCAGCATATTGTCAAATAATTGCATCAACGATCCACACAATAAAACATGGCAATTTACCAAATCAGCCAGAAATCTAAGAGAATATCTCTAGCCATATCCCATTTGCATGCTTTTAAGGTATCCTTGAAATTTTTCACCATGTAATCAACGAATTCTCCGCCGAAATTAAAATTTTTCGCGTTTAATAACCCAACGAGGATAGTATAAATAGTGCATTTTTCTGGCATTTTAATAGCGCAGTCTGTTAAAATCCGAAGAATCTTGCTACAAAATAAACCCAGATCGGCTTCTAATACGGAAGCCAAACCTTCTAAGTTGCTGTCCAAAGACGATGCTGATTTCTCCTCGACGCAGAGGATGAGAGTTTCAAGACGATCTTCGATCTCTTGATTCTCTGATACCTTTCTGGGTTTTTTATACACTCAATCTAAAAAAAAAGAGAACATATATACGTGTAATTTTATAAGCGTAATATACGTTTTATTATAAGTATAAAAGAGTCAATTTGTACATACATAAAGATTTTTATAACAAGGATACATATTATACATAATAAAGATGCAGCATCGATAGAGAATAAATTGTTCGTATAAATGGAGATTAACGGAGTTCTATCGTGTATATGTATCTTACACAATGTATAACAGAATAAAAGTTCAACAGTGAAAATTTTTCTTTATTTTTGAAGCAAAAATACTTGATTGTATGCGTGTGTTGTATGTGTGTGTCAAAATAAAAAGTATAAAAATCATCAAATAAATTAAACTGAATAGGATTTTTAAAAAGGTGGTATAAAAATAACACGTTTGTATTTATACAGTTTTCTATTTGAATATCATAGTCAATTGGTGAGAATCTGAAGCATCAGGCGAACGATAACTTCAAGTGTCGCTTACCGTAACCATCATCTTCTTCATGTACTCTTCTGCGGCTCATATTTCGCAATACAGAAACGACCGATGATTTCGAAAATTTCGTACCCATGATCGTGATTACTTTCGCACTTTGTCGCGCACTCTTTAACTCTTATGAACGGCGTAATTATAAAATCCAATTTCACAGTTTCACACGCGTCGAATTCTAACCCTGTTACGCCGAACCCATGATAGCTGTCGTAGCATGGTGTGCTTAGAGTCCTAGATTATCAGAGAAGCGCGACTGGTCACTGGTTTATGGCAGTATCGCAAAAGTACTAGAAAATATTAAAAATGCCGTTGAATGTCCAATCAGAACTCGTAACACCGGTCGCGACCATCTTGCCAATGCTAAATAATTTTACTTTTCTCAGTTGGTAAGATTTTTGGTTACTATGGTACGTTGACGGTTGAACGTTTCAACCGTCAATTGTTTCAAACGGATCCTCTGCTTACTGAGACGCACAAAAACGAAATAACTGAGTCGGGAAAAAATTGAAAAATGGCAGAGTAAGTATTAGGCTGCGGTCCGATTCATGCTCACAATGCTTTTGGAATACTTTCATCTTTGTCATTAGTCGAACATTAAATAAAGACAAATGATGATCATGAGCGCTGCAAGCGTAAATCGGACCGCAGCCTTAAAAATTACGTGATCGGCTTTTTTTCTTTCCGTTCTTTCGCGTTTACATATTTCCGGCTTTTCGTTGCATATAGCATTTTAACGTGCTGTCGCACTTGCAGGTCAACTAGGCTGCGTTCCTTTTGACGCTTACAGCGCTTGTAAGCATCATTTGTCTTTGTTTAGTACTTGATAAACAACAAGGATGAAATGATTTTGTGAGCGCTGTAACCAGCTGTAAGCGCCAAACGGAACGCAGCCCTAGTATCCTTTGTTGTTTATCCCGCGTGTTTTGATTCCCTTACGAGCAATTTGCAATATCCTCATAATAATTTACATAAATTTATACCTACGTGATTTCTTTTATATTATTTATAGGATGGACGAGGAATATACCGACTACGTCGATAATTCACCAGAGTTAAATGAGGTATGAGCTACTAATCTCTATATAGTTGTTTAATTATTAAAATGTTTTGTAATTTTTGTTAATATTGATTGTACAAATTTTATACATTATTACATTAGTTACAGTTTATAAATTAATATTATACATGTTCACATGATTTAAAATTAAGGTATATTTTATTGTTTAATAACGTGAATCATGATATTCTTATACTAAATGCATAATACATAATTTTTCTTAATTGTTACATTAATTATATATTTGTATAATTTCTTACTTTATTTTGTTGTTTGCATACTGAAACTTTGAACATTCTTCATATCATTCATTCTTCATATCATACATTCTTCAATATCATCTACACTATGTAGTACTTGTTTTTTTGGCATTAGACATTTGTGTGAGGAATGACCCAAAATGAAGTAAGAAATTATGCAAATATATAATTAATGTAACAGTTAAGAAAAATTATGTATTATGCATTTAGTATATATTTTATTTATTATTCCATTGTTGCAATTATTTACAGGAATTATATGAATATTCCAAGTTCAGAAATGCAGAACAAAACTGCTCTGTTTGTTCTTTGAAAACAATAAAATTTTGGGAAAAATGCAAACCAGGTTATTGTAGTAAAGCTTGTCAATTGAAAGATTTTCGACAACATCAGGCTAAATGCGACTTTATTCCGTAAATATATTTATATAATTAAACTACATATTTATATATAGTCTCTCAAGTTTATATATTCAGTAAAATACGTTTATATATTCAGTATTATATAATGGTGTTTTTAAAATAAAACGTAGCAAAGTATGGGCAAGGATAGAAAAATTTCTTTTCTTTTACTGAAAAGAA